CCGTGGACCACCAAATCACAGATTCTGATCGAATCGTGAGGGGTTTATGATTCTGACTTCGTTTATCGAAGTGAGAAATTAAAACGATATCTTATCGAAGTAAGATAGTCGTTCTTCTTGAAATCAAGTCAAAGCCTGAATATCAAGGAGTTGCCAGAAGCTCAAGAACTCTGCTCTCTCTCTGCTCTGGATTGCTCTGAAGTGCTCCAAATGATCAGCCCCTGTGAAAAATGGCCTTCGGGGGGTATTTATAGCCCCTATGAACAGTTGGCGGAAAACAGGCTCGCGAGACAGCATTTGCTGTCTCGGCCGATTAAAAAATAGGATTACTGTGGTAATAAAAAATTGAAATCTCTTTTTTCACCTTTGAGTTTCCCAGCATTCTATTTCGTTCTAATCTTTCTTGGCCAAAGAGCAATATTTGGAAATAGTAATTACAATCGAGTCTTTCTTTGAGTTTTATCATTTAGGAGAGTGTCAGTATCTCAAAAACTCCTTCATCTCCATTCATAATTTTTGGTAAGTGATGCTTCCCGTCCTTTGAGTTTTATCATTTAGAAAAGTGCTAGATAACTGGTTTCTTTTTTTACCTATTTCGTGCAACAATTTTTTGTAGGAAGACGAAATGCGCTCAGTTATGTTTCAAAGCCACACAAATAACAAAAATAACCAACATGTACATTATCAATTTACTACATTTCAAAACTTCCGTCTGGAAAATATTGAGCTTAGCACATATATATGATGGAGAAATCGCAATTGCAAAACGTGAAATCATCCTAGGCAAAAGAAGAAGAAAGATCTTGTTACTCACCTATAGTCGCAGAAGTCAACGTCTTCCAGCCATCACTGACGCTCCTGTTTCCTATTATTATCGTAACGCTGCTTCCTTCCCCATACAATGCTATATTTGTTTTGTAGTTTGGAACCTCGATGTACTCCTCATATATCCATGCTCTTATTTGGATGATCTTTCGGCCATCGCTGTTGTCTGGCACGAAGGCTATTGCATCCCCTACCCCGGTGAAGTTAACGCTCCCATCTGGAGCAACGATCAAAGTCTGCAACATATATGTACAACATATTGAATCACACGCGCACACTTTTTCACTTTTAAGTTTTTCAACAATGCACAAGCATGTTGACTAGTATGTTCATATTATATGTATATACTAGCTAATGTCGGTTGATCATCGTGCACCCCTCCATCCGCCGGTTGCATTATCACAGTTGTCGAGGTGGCAATGTCGATGAAGATTAAAGCCATTACCAATTTGAAATCTTGAACTGAGCTCGTCATCACCATGTATGGTCTTTTCTTTCTTTCCTTCTTCTTCTTCTTATTTTATTTTATTTTATTTTATTTTTATTTGTTTTTTATTTTTGTTTTTATTTTTTTTGCAGGAGGTAGGGAGTGTGTGTATTGTATGGTGTTTTATATATTGTGTTTTTTTATTGCACTGTGGAGTGTGGAGGGAAACTGCATGTGCCTAACCATTTAAGTATATCAATCTCCATATATGGAATGCAAAGTTAATTTTGAGCGCGACATTTTATTGGTTGAAATTGAATAAGGAACCCATGCGTATATTTAGACGTAGAGATTAGATGGACGGTTGGTTTCCAAAGTTATGGAGACAATACATAGTAAAGGATTGAGTCTATAAGAACTTAACAAAAGTGAACCCGAGAAGTTGATAGCAACTGTCAATAATACAAGGCAGTACGCGTTGTTTCTATCTTTATATTTAATAATAATTTTGAATTCCGATAGGTTTCTATCTGTAACCACTTAGGGGTTGTTTGTTTGCGTAAAAAAAGAGGGAAATCAAAAATAGGAAATCTATTTCTAAGAAAAATTATTTTGAGATTGTTTGGTTGGCTAAAAAAAGAAGGAAATCAAAGAATATGACATGAGTTGTCACATTATTATTAGATGATAAAAAATACTGTAGCGATTAAAAAATAGGATTACTGTGGTAATAAAAAATTGAAATCTCTTTTTTCACCTTTGAGTTTCCCAGCATTCTATTTCGTTCTAATCTTTCTTGGCCAAAGAGCAATATTTGGAAATAGTAATATTTACAATCGAGTCTTTCTTTGAGTTTTATCATTTAGGAGAGTGTCAGTATCTCAAAAACTCCTTCATCTCCATTCATAATTTTTGGTAAGTGATGCTTCCCGTCCTTTGAGTTTTATCATTTAGAAAAGTGCTAGATAACTTGTTTCTTTTTTTTTTACCTATTTCTTGCAACAATTTTTTTTAGGAAGACGAAATGCGCTCAGTTATGTTTCAAAGCCACACAAATAACAAAAATAACTAACATGTACATTATCAATTTACTACATTTCAAAACCTCCGTCTGGAAAATATTGAGCTTAGTACATATATATGAAGGAGAAATCGCAATTGCAAAACGTGAAATCATCCTAGGAAAAAGAAGAAGAAAGATCTTGTTCCTCACCTATAGTCGCTGAAGATCAAACAATAACATCATTCATCTTAACAAAAGAAAAATAATAATTAGCATAATTGTTTAGTGTCAAAGCTGGCCAAACAATTTTAATTTGACAGCATAAAAATCTACAAAACCGATTTTAGTGAGCAAAAGGCCCAAACGGGTCTGAAATCTGATATTGGATCATAACTGGAACAAACAGGTCTGTAATTTGAATTATGAATCCAAACAGGTTTGAAATATGATATTGGACCCAAACAGGTATAGAGAAGTACGTAGATGTGATGTGCACTTAACTTTGTCCAAATAACGGAAGGTCTTCTCAGTTTCACTCTCTTATCTCTTAAACTTTGCTAGGTGATTTTCAATAAAACTTTAAAAGGAATCACATCATTTTTTAAAAGCATGTACATATTTCGTAAATCAGTTTTCTATTTAGTTTGGTGTGGAGTGCCCATCAACGAAAAAACATGCATGATTTAAAAATCAACCAAGCGATTGGACTCACCTACCCACGGGCATGCGTGTACTGTGCCTCTCTCAGTCTCTTGGTCCTTTGCTTACAAAACTTCAAGTTATATTCCCAGAATATCCCCATTAGTTTTGATCGCCATACTCATTTTGGTTTCTTCTCTCATGGCCCTTTTTCTGGTATTGCTTTTACAATTTTCCGAGTCTTGTCAGCCCGTTTGGTTCATTAGGTGAAAGTTACTGTAGTCAGGAAACCAGGTTGAAAGCTGACTCTGGCAGCTACAGTAACTTTCGCCCAAAAACACCATATTTTGAGGAGATATGATCAGAAGCTGCCACATTGGATTTTTAACTGCCACGTCAGCATTTTTTTGCACAACCAAACAATGTAAACAAGTGAAAGTTACTGTAATCCGACAACTACCTGACAGCTACAATAACTTTCAAACAAAAACAACCCAACCAAACAGCCCCTAAGCTGTAGAGGCCTTTTTTCTGACTGTTTTTCCCTACTAGACAAGTAACATGTTACTTACTCTCTGTATTAGGAAAGGAAAGAAAAAAAAAACATCTTTTATGATAAACTTGAGAGGATTTACTCGCAAGATAATGATGTGACTTAATTTTAACTAAACATTGTTACGACTCTTTTGCCTCATATTACATGACATATTCATTAGACTCAAATTGTGATAATACTGTGTAGAAATGGTCTTACAACGAAGTATACAATCTTATTCAAACAGTTCAATTATTGAAAAAATATCATAATTTTTAATTCACATAAGCAACATGAAGATATTATAAAAATCTAATAGTTCAGAACTTTAAAAATTGCCATGATAACTTATTTATTATTACAGGATATTTTTTTATATCAGTCTCTTCAAGGTATTAAAATTACTATTACATCCCCAAATTCTTGTATGTTGCTTTAAAATTATTCAGTACAGCCATTAAAATTGCTATCAGATTCCCTCCATTTCATAGATTGCCTTGAATCAATCTATCTAGCCCAGAGCAACATTAGCAAGATTAAAAAAAAACCTTGAGGAGCCTCATAGTAACTTTAATGATTTATAAGACCCCCATCTAATATCTTCCCTGCAATTTTCAAAATCCATCCTTTTCAAACTTTATTTCTAAAACTTCACCCATTTATCATTAATTTAATATTTTCGATCTAGTTTCAGTTAAAAATGATAAATAAGCCGCAAAAACTTCAAGAAATTTAGAATCGCGTGAAGTTTAACACTTAAAAGTTGACCCATTGCCTCGAATCAATCTATCTAGTCAAGAGCAACATTAGCAAGATTAAAATTATAAAAAAAAATGGAAAAATCTCGAGGGGCCTCATAGCAAATTTAATGGTTTAATGGCCAAAGTTGGGAACATAAAACATTGGAGGGACTGATGCCTAAATTCAAAAGTTAAAAAAAAAGCAGCGAAGCGGGGGCCAACCCGCGAACTCCCACCTAATTTCCTCCCCCTGCCATTTCCCGCTAACTACGCCATCATCGTCCTAAAAATCCCCAAATAATTTCTAGGTCTTCGCTCGGATCGCCTCCTCTCATTAAAAAAATAAAACTTTAAAAATATTAATAAAAAAAAACCACGCTCTCCTATTTGTAGTTTTCTCAGGGTTTTTAATTCGCAGAACCAAAGCTTAAACCCTCGGCTCCACCGCCATCAGTCTCCTCATAATCCTCAACCTCCGATCTAAATCAAGCCAGCAAGAAGATGATTTCTTAGTCAAAGCTCCCTCCCGGCGGCCGAATGCGCCGTCCGCCGATCTCGGCCGATCCAAGGCGATGCGCTGCCCGGCTCGTCGGCCTCGAGCCCGCGCTCTGCCCTCGCGGAAGAGACGCAATTCCTTTGAAAGCCCCCTGCAACTGACTCACTTCAGGCTTCGGATCTCTGGGGGCGAGGTAAGCACGAAATTCCAGTTAGGGTTGGGGCTTACGAAGGGCCGATTCAACGCGGACCAGTCTTGCCCCGATCTCCGACGACGCGGGGCGGGCGAAGGTTCGGCGGCGGCGGCGCAGAAAGGTGAAGATAGGGGTTTACTTCGCGACGTGGTGGGCGTTGAACGTTGTGTTCAATATCTACAACAAGAAGGTGCTCAATGCTTTTCCTTACCCTTGGTTGACTTCGACGCTTTCGCTTGCTTGTGGATCGCTGATGATGTTGATCTCTTGGGCGCTTAGGATTGCCGAGGCGCCCAAGGTGGATTTTGACTTCTGGAAAGCTCTTGCTCCGGTGAGATTTTTCTTTCTTCCTTCTGACTTTTGTTGCTAAATTTGTTGATGGGGAGATATTTGTCTTCTTTTGATTACGTAAAAGTTTCATTTTTTTTGGGTGGTTTTGTTGTAAACTGTGGTCTTCCTCTTTGTGGGCTCAGGACTTGGAGTTTTCTGCTCATTTGATGTAGAGAGAATCAGCGGGTGATGGGGTTTTACGATTCTTTTCTCGCTTTTGTTAGGAATAACCGTATGATTACTCGAGCGATTAAGGATTTCGTAGTTTGAAGTTCCACCATTGTTTGATCAAGTGACTTTTCTGCCTGGATAAGCAGTAAAAACATTCTTATTTAATTCAGAATAATATAACTTGTTTTTAAACAACATTTTTTTGGAGAAATTTGTAAACATCATTTATTTGGGTTTATTTCTGGCGTCCTTCATGCGGTAATTTTATACTTGATTGGTTGTTTTATCTACAAACCTGATGCAATTGCATCGGTTTAATTAGTGCTGTTTGTCCTTTTAATCGTAATTTTAGATCCTCATTATCTAGGTATTGCTGAATTCAGCTGAGATTTTACTTCTTTTTTGTTTGTTTTAAACTTGGAAACCTTGTTCTTTTCTTGGCTAGGTGGCGGTGGCACACACAATTGGACATGTAGCAGCGACTGTGAGTATGTCGAAGGTGGCAGTATCATTTACCCATATTATTAAGAGTGGAGAGCCAGCATTTAGTGTTCTTGTTTCTAGGTTTTTGTTGGGAGAAACCTTCCCCCTGCCAGTTTATTTGTCCCTGGTGCCCATCATTGGAGGTTGCGCCCTAGCTGCAGTCACTGAACTCAACTTCAACATGACTGGTAAGGAGCACAGATGATTGAAATTTAGAAGAAGTTCCTTGCTTTATCTATTTATCTTACTGTTTTTAGGAAATTGAGAGCTTATGTCATCATAAGGCGTTGATATTCTTGTGAAAACTAACCAAGAGCCATGTTATCTTTATTGTTTCTTTATCTTTACTGCTTTGTGAAGTTTCAAACATGTTTTTTAAGATGAATTTTTTAGCTACTGTCTAATTAATGGGATAAATGGTTCTCGGTGATGCTCGTCTCCTAGCCTTTTTGCAATCTTGGAAACTATCTTTAATGCTTCTGTAAAAGTGGCTATTAGTTTTAATATGACAGTTAAGAAGAAAGGTTGATGGTAAAAGAGAAAAATCACATTTTATTGATGCTTTACTATGTTTTATTCCGTTTATTAAATTCTAAACTGAGAAAAGATAAATAAATTCCATCGTAGGTTGGAAAAATGAATCCTAGAGATAATTCTTTTTTTTTTGGCTATGTGGATCTTTGGTGAATCTGTTGAGAATCTTTAGGAACTTTCTGAGAGTTGCCTGTGATTTCTGGAGCACTAGTGTCACTCATGATGGATGGTTTGTAATTTTGTTTACAAAACAAATGTTGTTTTATTCGCTTCTACATATGGTGACGGAGGACTATTTGCTTTTTGGAGAATTCCTTTCAATATTGTCCCTATTCTTCGTTGATCATCTTTCGGAGTCCTTTTGCTTACCCTAGCTTTGTTTTGTAGCGCTCATTGCAATAATTTAAATGTGTGCTTTAAATTTTTTTTTTGTCCTTTAGTTGAATTCCCATTTGTAACATCCCGTGAAATCGCTTTGGTTTGTTGTCATTGTAGGTTTTATGGGTGCTATGATATCAAACATTGCATTCGTCTTTAGAAACATTTTCTCAAAAAGAGGGATGAAAGGGAAGTCAGTTAGCGGGATGAATTATTATGCTTGCCTCTCTATGTTGTCCTTACTAATTCTAACCCCATTTGCAATTGCTGTGGAGGGTCCCCAGATGTGGGCAGTTGGTTGGGAGAAGGCAATGTCACAGATTGGTCCCAACATCATTTGGTAAATTTCAGCATCTCCTGTTAGCTAAATAATTGTCTTGCCTTTTATTTTGATGAAGACACACTGCAAATCTGTTTTCATATCTCAGTAATTGAGATTAAATTTCCACATGCATGTTATGGAGTCTCTTTTTGTTTTGCTATTATTTTGGTAGAACATTCAGATGTCAGTAATTGATATTAATTTTTCACATGCATCTTATGTTTATGGTATCATTCTGAAATGTTATGAGTGTAGTAGATACTTATTTGTTAAATAGCTGAAGCTTTTGCCCTGTTTACCATTAGCTTGTTTTATTTCTTTATATAATATGTGCTCTATGAGTTAGTTAAGTCGGAGTGTTTGAATCAACTACCATGTCAAGTACAAGTTTTTCTTTACAGATGGTAGTTGCTGGTAATTTTTCTGTTCTGTCCTTAGGCATGCAAATACACACAATATATGTTACTTTCTTGACCGATCATCATATAAAAAAAAATCATACTTGGACTGGCCTTCATAAATTGTCTTTACATTTAACATTATTTTACTTAATCATGATTCATATCAATAACTTGTGGCTCTGAAACAATGTATTGATATCTGGTAGGTGGATAGCAGCCCAGAGCATTTTCTACCACTTGTACAATCAGGTCTCATACATGTCGCTGGATGAAATCTCTCCCTTGACGTTTAGTATTGGCAATACATTGAAGCGGATATCAGTCATTGTCTCGTCCATCATAATCTTCCACACGCCTGTCCAACCTGTAAACGCCCTTGGAGCAGCCATCGCCATCCTTGGCACCTTCCTTTATTCCCAGGTAATCTCATGCACACTCTTTTGAAATCTGAAACATAGTAGTGCAAATATACCTGAAATGACTAAAAACTCCCTGTACTTGTAATAAAATCTTATTGCTTATTGACGCCTCTCAAATATAATTAGCTGTGTGTTTTATTTACCAAGTTAAAGGTAAGTTATTCAATAGATATCCATTTTTATTTCTATACTATGTCATCTTCTGTGAATTCACATGTGTGAAGGATTTTTCTTCAATTCATGCCTCTCTTGCACATTGGTTAGCTTATAGTCGGAAAAATGTAACATTTTAGCTTCTTTACTACTGAGATAAAAGTAGATCACGACTAATTACAGGGTGACCAACTTCTTTGGAAGTTTTTATTTATGCAAAGCATATGCTTGAATTCCAATAGTAACAAATTTCATAATTTATGATATAACCATGCATTATATGCAGAGTGAAGAAATTACGGGATTGTATAAGGAAAATTGTTCTCATCCTTCTTCTCTTATTTTTGTTGGGAGAGACTTGGAGTTTCATATTGTTATTACTAATCCCTTCCAACCAAATAAGAACCACAAAAGGTATATCCTTCCTTGCACCTCATTAAACCTTACCTCGCCTTACCTTCCCTCATTGTACCTCCTACCAAACCAAGCCAAAGGAAACTTAGGAATATAATTTTAGAGTAGTACCATGGAAACTTAGGAGTATTTTCTTTCTAGCTCGAAATTAGGAATATAATTTTAGAGTAGTAATTACTAATTAGGAGAATAAGGATAACTCCTGATAATTTATAAAGCAACGTTGTAGACATTTTTCTCTAGAGATATGGACAAAGTAGATGTATTTCCTATGGAACAGAAATTCAGTGAAGTATTATGTTATTCTGGAAAATTTTCTCCTAACAAAAAAGTAGACAATAAATGCATATGTACTGCTTTGTCAGCTCTGAAGAAATACAAAAAACTTCGTAAACATTTCAATAGTTATCTGCTGCTGGCATGAATTTTGTGTGATTTGTAGCAATGAAACTTTCGGGCTTTATATAACTGCTGGTTTAACATGTGCAAATTGTTTAACATGGCAAATTGTTTTGCAGGCGAAGCAGTGAAAGCTGATCCGGAACAAGCGGAGAAGTCTATGTCCTCTTTAAGTCTTTGTAGTGCTGTGAAAATACCAACGGGCAAATTTGATTTCAAGAAGACTCAGTAGCAGCAACGACCACCTTCATATTGTTGTAGATATATATAAAATAACATCATGTGCCTTGGAAATGTTTAGAAAAAATATCCGGTTTTCCATTTTAGGAGAGAGTGTCTTGTGTGCTGGAAAAATGTATTCTAAGTTATTGTCCG